ACTCCTGTAAAACTTGATGAGACCAAGTAATTTGTTGATGCAGGATAAGTTGCCTCAGGAGCTGTTGAACGAACGTGCTGCTCTTGATTGGGAACTACAACAGCATCAGGCTGATTGTGGTCGACAGATTCGACCCAGTGACGCGTACGATCCTTTTCGTCTATTGTAAGTTGTGGAGAGATTCGAGTTAACCCACTTTCCTCAGCATTCTCGCTGATTTCCGACAACTCATCTTCTAACTCAAGCCCTTTCAACTCAATTTCTGCCAGTTTTTTCCTGTGTTCTTCAGCCAATACTTCCAACTCTAAACTGCTTTGTTGTTCTAAAACAAATTGTTTCATCTTGTTTTGCTGCTCTTTCAGTCTTAATGATACCTTTGCCTGCCTCTCAAGTTCCTCTTGTTGTTTCTTTAAAATCATTAAGTCGCGCTTTTTCTCAGAAAGTGTTTTCGACGGAGCCGCGGTATAACGACTAGATTTCTGAGATCCCGATTGATGATGTCGGCTGCTTCGGTGTGACAACTTAGAGCGGGTATCTGTTTTATGCGACTGGGGTTTTTCACTTTTTTCAGAATGATGAGAAACTTTTGAGCTGCTATCTATGTTGTCCGGCTCTGTTACTGCCTCAAAACTTGTTTTATATGTGGTAGCTTCCTGTAAAACTTTATCGTTGCTTTGAGTCAACTTATGAAGCCACATATCCTGTGCCGGTATCAATTCGTCGGGATTGGCACTTTTTGCAGCCATATCAATCAACTCATTGTTTATCTCGACCGCTTGTTCTATATAGTTCCTACATTTTTCAATATAGGTATCAATTTTTGAGCAACGACTCTGACTCTCTATGTATTCTAAAATTATCTCGTGGCATTTATAAAGTTCGTTTTCGAGAGTGCTACGTTTCTCAAACAACTTCTTAATTTTCTTCTGAAACTTAACTTCCATGCTTAATAATTTCAGAAATAAACGACTCTCAGAAAAAACTGTATTTTCAATCAAGTAAATCCACAAAATAATCTAATACATCAATAGCTTACAAGGGGGAGTAACTTGAAGTTTTAACGCTTTAAGTCTGTTGTGAATCGCTCTACGATTTTTAGGCGACAATCGATTCCGCTTCTTCTTAGCTTTCAGTGTATTTAGGTCAGCACTGTATCGTCTAAGTCTTCAACTCAAGGGAAGGGGGCTGGTGCAGCTCTTTATACTTTTCGATAAGTGTTTGGTCTTTAGCCTTTCGCTTTGAGATAAAATCCTCAACTATGTTAAGAACGAGAATACCTGTCTTTTTCAACTCCTTTTCTATACTGTTCGTAACGTTGCGGCGACAGTATACAATAGCGGTAATATTCTCCTTGTATCTCAAAAGAAGGCTCTTAAGTTGATCAGTACTCAAACTACGGTTGTTGTTACTGCGGTGCTTACTAATGGAGTTATTTATGGCGTCGTGCCAAATAACTAGATCTTTCCGATTCGACAAAAAGTGATGCAGATAGTATTGGATAGTTTTCTGCGAGTCCCTGGCGTTAAAGTTAAAGCTTAAGCCGGGCTTTGTGAAACAAGTCTCTTTCACGCGCTTTTGAGACGGTGCGGATAGTATACGGAGCGCGTGATCCAAGGAACTAGCTCCTAGAATGAATACCATACACTCAAGAGACCTATGCGACGGCTACGTTACGCTAAAGTACCAATGGGGTGGGGAAATTAAGTAGGTCGGTTGAACTCCAACAACGCACACGGAGTAAACTTGAGGATGAAAGAATTCAACTTAACTCAGTTAATATCACCGTACCTGACCACTTAACATTAGTGTCGCGCAACGAAGTCAATAATCGGATTGGCTGAAACGGCTTAGATTTACTTAAACCAATGGGGTGGGGAAATTAAGTAGGTCGGTTGAACTCCAACAACGCACACGGAGTAAACCTGAGGATGAAAGAATTCAACTTAACTCACTTAATATCACCGTACCTGACCACTTAACATTAATTTCGCGCAACGAAGTCAATAATCGGACTGGCTGAAACGGCTTAGAATTACTTGAAGCGTACTGGCTTTCAGTTTCACCAATGTGGGTGGGGGATCAGGCAAATTGGTTAAGTTCCAACAACACACGCGGAAAAAACCTGAGGATGAAAAAACTCAACTTAATTTGCCTGATATTACGCTACCAGACCACTTACCATAAGGTTGGTGTCATGTTACAGCACAGTTTCGCAGAATTATGGGGACGTTTTGAGGAATTTTTGGCAATTTTTTTTTTCCAAAATTTTTCGGAAAACTTTGGTCAGCAGGTTCGAGTCGTAAACCAATCCAAAAAACTAGTCTAGTACCCCTTGTCTATGATCCGATTTTTTTTTGGATTTTCAATCCGTTCACAATTACCCAAAAATTTGTGGTATCGGGAAAATTACCACTTGTAGCTTGCTTTGAGTTGGGATACACAATAAGACACCGTACGAAATTTTATTGCACAAAAAAGTTTATAAAGATTAGACTAGTCTTACAGTTTTTGACGGTTTTGGAGATTGGGCGGTCACCGGGAAAAAGCCAAAAACTTCGGGTGTCGAGAAAAACACAGCTCCACTTTGACCACAGGCCTCTCTTCCACCAGTCTGCTCTTTCGCCAGACTGCTCTGTCGGCTCTTTTGGCTAATCGAATTTCGGCCAACTGAGCCCTGGGCGAATTTCGGCCAATTCTGCTAGCTACTCACTATAACGACTTTCGGCTATTTGGACACTTGATCAACTGGACACTCGGCTAACTGGTCAATCGGCCAACTGGACAATCGGCCAACCGGACACTGGGGGGCCAACTGGAGACTCGAGACAATTAATATACTCGGCCAAATGCATTCGGGTCTTGTGTGAGGGAAAGATAGAAAATGATGCAGTCGTCCAACTCGGCTAAGTGCACTCCGCCAACTGGTTGCTAAAATTTTCGTATTTTTTGCCAATGAGAATATGCCGACGACTTTCGAACTCGGCCAACCTTCGAATACGAGAAGGTGACGACTTTTAAACAGCTTTGACTGAGTCACTGAGACTCTTGTCGTGAAGAGAAAGACCTCGGTCCCTTGTGTCGACTTCGTGAGAGAAGACTCGAGTCCCTTGTGCAATTGCGCGAGAAAAGACTTCGGTGTCCCTTCGTGTCCCTTGTGCAATTTCGCGAGAAAAGACTTCGGTGTCCCTTCGTGTCCCTTGTGGGGCGCCAAAATGTGCGCGCCAATCTACACACTTCGTAATAAAATCTCTTTTCAAACACTTGAATTAACGAGTTTTTTATCGGGAAAATAACTCTGGAAATTTCGTAATACAATGATATTTTTAACAAACTTTTTTATTGTTATCGGTAACATCGGACACAAAAAACTGCATAACTCAAAGCAAGCTGCAAAAATGGCCAGTATCTGTCCTTGAGACAAATTGATCTTTTTAAAGGTCAGCCTTAATCAAGGCTGAACCAAATTAGAGCGAAAAGACGGTTAAAATCGGTTTTTTTTTGGGGGGGGGGGGGTCGAACCTGGTTACGGAGCATCCCATCAAGTTCGGTGCATATTCGAGTTCTAGAAAGGAAATGAACTAGTTGGGATTCGAACCGGCGCCGAACCCGCCGGGACGCACCATGTATACGCTTGGCTACTGTCCCTGTATGAATTTACATTTATATGCATTTATACTCTCGCACATTTACGTTTATATGCATTTGTACTATTGTTTTATATTTGCGCTGCAACAACTAGCATTTTTCCATAAACGAAAAATAATGATTCTACATTTGAATTTCTCAAAGTTTTTTGGTTGTGTTCGTAACCGAACACAAATGACATACACCTTGATTACTCAAACGTAATTCAACTTAGTTGATTATAAATCTCGTTTTTGAACTATATTTTTGAAGAAAATTTAAATTAGCTTGTTGTTCAGACTGCAAGTCTCCACATGAAAGTAACTTAACTGTGAATTTTGCGGTTTTTGTCTCAAAAATTGAAAATGGAAGTTTGGAATAAATCTTGAAGGAAAAAAACTTCAAATTTTGGAAAAAACGTTGTGCAACATTTGCGCTATTTAGCTATTTTAATCGGATTTCTAATGATTGTTTCTAAAAATTGAATTTTTTAATTACCAGACATTGATCAAGACATACAAAAACATGTCATACAAAAGAAAGGGCAGTTTTAAGCGTTTTTGAAAAAAACTAATGAAGAGAAAAAGAAAAAAATCCAACATTAGTATATCCAGGACTACCTACGTTATACACACAGAAAAATAAATTTTGCAATTTTGCAAGCATTTTTTTTCAAAAAGTGTTTGCTTGAGTACGAAAATCAATTTGCGGTTGAAAAAACAAAAAACAATTTTTGGGGGCAATTTCAAAAATACTTTGTCGACACCATCAAAAAAATGCTAGTCATACACTTTCCATATATGGAAATTGTATGACTAGAATTTTTTTGACAAAAAGTTTTTCTTTTTTATTTAGTACGATACACCGACTTTTATGCCAAAACAAGCAAAAAAGCCTTTGAAAATTCGATGACACCATTTTAGCAAAAAGCATGGAAATTTTCTGACAAGTATTTTTATAGAAATTGTCTTAGTTTAGAAATTGTCTGATTAGCATTTATGGAGGTCAATCCGAGCTCACTACGATGCAAAACTTAGTGCAGATGAAAAAAAAATTGGAGTTTCCAAACCCAGGTTAAGTTTGTAAGCCATTGAAACCAAATGTTGATAGTTTCATAGAGGGTACCTCGGATCAGTTGCTCTTGGTCTATGTAAAAGTTTTACTGAATTTCATAGGAAAGTTTGTCCAAAATGGACATTTAAAACAGGCATTTCAGAGAATAAAATCTTGTGTGTGAGCTTAATTTTGTCCATTAGTGTATTTTAGAGAGTAGTCATATGCTGAAAAACCGTGTCAGCGCTTAGAACAATCAAAGAAACTGCTGTAGATTGTATCTTGAAAACTGACGGATTATTTTTTTTAAATTATGCTGTGAGCTCAGTTTGAAACGATGATTGTTCAATTGCAATCGTCATGTATCAGATTTTACCAACAGCTAATTTGGACAGAACGGAGCGTGACTTTCTGAATGCAGTGAGAAATGGGTGCGACGGGCTGGTTAAGCGATACTATCACCAAGGTTAGTTTTTCACAATTGTTTTTTGCAATTATTTTACAAATGTTCTCCAATATTTCAGAATTTTTTCAAAATTAATTTTCACATTATTTCAGAACACTTCACAATAATTTTCACAATTATTTCAGAATTAATTAGCAATTAACTTTCACAGTTATTTCAGATTCATTTCACAAAAAAATTTCACAAATATTTCAAAGTGTTGATAAAGTCGTCTCGAACGATCAAAATCAATCAAAAATGGAACGCTTACCTATCTTTTTAAAATTTGCTCGTTTGGAAAACTGAAAAAAATTAACTGAAATAATAAAACAGTCCTGATGTTATAAGTTAGCCGATTTTTTTGCGCGTTTTATAAACCGAGATCTCGAAAATTTTTATAATTGGTTGATAGGTTGAAAAAAGTGAAATGAGTCTTACATAGTTTCGCAATCTTGACATTTCAGGAGTGAACATAAGGTGCCGAACGACTGATTCTGAAACTCTCGACTCGTACGAGGCGAAAGCGGGAATGACAGCTGTGCACCTGGCCGCTTGGTATGGCCACGACTTCCTTGTCAACTTCCTCGTGGACCGAGGCTGTCCCGTAGACTCCGAGGACTTCTCGGGATTCCGACCGATACACTTCGCGTGTGCTCAGGAAAGTTTGTTGATTATGTCTCAAATGACTTGAACATCGATGAAATAGAGATATTTTAAACTGATATAAAAATTCAAGTTCTCTCAATATAGATAAATTCTAGATCGTCTGCGTACTGTATTGAAATCAAACTGAAAGTCAAGTCGTACGAAAAAAGTTGATGCAAATACGTTAGTACAGGTCTAATGGAAAATAAGCAAAAACCGCTTTCCCCAAGCCTATTAACAAAAAATAAAGTCCCATAATATTACGATTTTTGTCATATGAGGGGGAGGGGGGAGGCTGTAAAATGCTGGTGGGACTATGATGGGAGAAAGCTGAAATATATTTTTTTTATTCATGCCAATTGGGATGATTGTGATTTGAGACCTAATGCATAGGGTAGACATTCGGCCTTCGAGGCTCTTGTGAAGAAGGGGGCCAATTGTGTGGGGGCGGCCAAAGATAGCTGGACATGTTTGCACTACGCGGCTCAGAGGGGTGATGAAGACATCGCCAAAACATTACTTTCCAAGGTCAGTTCAAATCAAAGTTTTGTTTTTTATTGAGCAACACGTTTTAGAGAATAAGTAAGCTGAAATTGAGTTCAATTGTTTCTAAGTTTGAGCAAACATTTTTTTGGCTCTTAAGTCGTCTTGTAACACCCTCTCCGATATTTGATTTCTACCACAAAAAATTAGCGTTACACCGCGTAAAAAGATAATTCAGTCTGGCGAAGCCTCAATCGTGTTCAAACGAAATGCAAACATTTTCTCAGTATCGAGAAAAACAGGTTTTGAATTTTGATCATATCCATCTTTGAAAGTTTTGCCGCAATTTAAAAGTTTTAATGCTTTCATTATATGATGTGTGTAAGATGACATTAAGTCAATTAAGGGCGTTTCCTAAGCATTGTAAATGCAAAACCGTCCAACCTTCAGTGACTCTAGTTTTGAGTAAGCCAAGGTTTGTCACTTAGGTTCGGTTACGAACATAACCCAAAATTTAAATAAATTCAATTAAAAAAACCAAGTTTTTGAGTTAATGGAAAATTTTTGAAAACAATTTCCCCATTTATGAAAAATCAATCATCATAGACCTTCATGTAATTTTCTGTGCTTATGGTATTGCAAAACTAATGTATTACTAGCATTTTCCATATAGTTAAGTAATTAACGCGGGGATTAAGTAACTAAGTAACTTATTAAACATCTAAAATAAGTGAATTAGCATAAACAGAACGAGGCCAAATTTCTTTTTGTGAATTGTTGAAGGTTTTCGGTTATAATTTGTAAATTTAATTTTGTTTTCGATTGAGAAATAAATGCATGTCATTCAGTAGCGGATTCAAAAGGGAGGGAGTGGGCGGCCCGATTCAGATAAAAGGCCCCTTTTGGTCTTTTTTTTGGTTGACCAACCCTTAAATTTTTCTAAAAGCGCCATTTGCGTCTATGCATAAAATTTCTGAGCGGATTGTGCCAAAAAATGGGACTTCTTTGTCTCATTATTCCAAACAAAATTTAAAGACAATTTTTGACCTGTTTATCAAAAAAATTTCTGCTGCTCGAAAATTGATGAAAAAAGATTTTCTTTATTTTGGGAGAACTTTGAGATCTCGGAATACGAAATTGGTCTATTAAAACAACGTGGTCAAACCTTTCGAAAAAAAATCAAAAACCGCCCAAATGAAAATCAGCAAATTAAGGGCGCTTGATCTGGTTAGCTGAAATAAATCTACTGGGAAATTATTACATCATTAATTCACTAATAATTAGTCAAGTCATTAGCCTCATAGTTCCCGGAAAGCCAAAAAGATTTTTTTTGATCTCGGATAGCCGACAAAAATAAATGTAAATTGAAGCAATTTATCAAAAGTGCAAAACTATACAAGCAATGCAATTCTTACGCATAAATAGTATGATCAGCCACACTAACATTTAATGCCTTGAAACTTTTGGGATATTCTGGAAGGAATTTCTTTCGGCTATCCGGGAATGCGTCTCCGTGGTACGGTGGCGTGTCACAGAGCCAAATACCCGGATAGCCGAAAAAAATTCCCCGCCCTTAATTAAATTATAGACAATCAAAATACAAAAATTGTCTTATGAGGTAATGCGAGGGGTTGCTTTAAGAACGAAAAAAAAATCGATCGATATTTCTTAAGATCGCCGTTTTTTTTATCTATTCCGAAAAGCTATATAGATCTGAATTTCAACAAAATTTTCTCCGACAGGCAATTATATGGCGGTTTTGTACATCTTTAGTTAGTTATTAACAAAAAAATTTCAGTGTATTCAGCAATCCGGGAAGGCGACTCCGTGTTTTAATTGGATAAGACACAGTTTGAGTTGAGCTTTTTTGGTTTACCTTAATCTCCCCATAGGTTCCGTCTCCATTGTCTCCGAAGTCGTCTTGAATGTGCGCCTTGTTTGTCATTCTCGAAAGCTACAGACGAAGTATTTGTCGGCTTTATTGTTTTACTTTGCTGAAGAAAGTTCTTTTTCTGCTGTGTTGTAGGCTGAGCGTTTTCACTCCAGATTGTGTTGTTCAAAAAAAATTTTTTGCTTCTTTTTTCAATCTTTGGCTTCTTTTCTACAATATTTTGAGCTGTGGTGACAGAGTAAATTGATACACGTAATAAAACAGCCAATTAATCGACAAAGTTTTGTTTTTTACTGAGCAACACGTTTTAGAGAATAAGTAAGCTGAAATTGAGTTCAATTGTTTCTAAGCTTGAGCAAACATTCTTTTGGCTCTTAAGTCGTCTTGTAACACCCTCTCCGATATTTGATTTCTACCACAAAAAAAATTAGCGTTACACCGCGTAAAAAGATAATTCAGTCTGGCGAAGCCTCAATCGTGTTCAAACGAAATGTAAACATTTTCTCAGTATCGAGAAAAACAGGTTTTGATTTTTTGGGTTTAGTCTAATTTCAAACGTTTATTAGAACGCACATGTGAGTTAAAAAATCACAATCCAAAAAATTTTCCGCGAAACATAACTTTCATTCGTTTTTACTCATCTTCGACAAAAACTGTGCCTAAGTTACTAAAACTATCAAATATGCCATAGTCCCAAAATTCTAGGCTTTCGATTATCACAACACGGACAAAAACTGACACAATATAAACACAGACTGATGCAAGCCTTATTGTGTGCGTATTTTGCCTTCAGAAGTTGATAGAATCGTTTTTTTTTCTTACAAGGGCGGCCATCCTGACGGAAAGTCAAATTTCACCCTGCACGTAGTCTCGCTCTAAGCTTAACGAAATCGACACATCATTGTGTCGATCTGAAGTCTTGGCACAACCACCCAAGACGACCCACGATCAACGAGACCCATCTTTTAAACAAAGAAACGATATTCTTCTCTCTGTCCAAACAGCTACATAGTACATCTCTCCTCTTTTCATGAAGTCACTGCTCGAAGTTCAAAAAGAAATCTACTTCACCGTCCTTCGCTACATTCAACAAAAAAAATTAAAAACTCTCTAAACGCCGGGTCAATTGAACCAGTTCTAAACTAGTATTTATACACCAATTATATGATTGATAAAATTATCATATTAAAATATTACTAAATAACCAATCATATTCCATCTCTAACATTGACACTTTTTTGTAAGTGCTGAAACTACTTGTAGTTTCAGCACCAGAACAATTTGAATAAATATTGAACTACAGTTGTTCACCTTCTGATTAAACTCAAAGAACTAACTCGCAAAAACCAGTATACACTAGATCCATTGAGACCAGGAGATATAAGAGTAAGATTAAGATTGGTATTAGACTAAGAAGTTGCACGAACCTATGCGGCCGAAAATAGAATACCGTGTCGAACAGACGGTTTACCTTATCTGAAATTGAGTACAGTAGACAATACATTACTCAATGGAATGCGGTGAAAAAGTACTTACAGACACAAGTAAGTAGAATGAATCAGAATGCAATTCAGGGTTTCTGAGAAAAATAAACGTCAATGAAACAGGAGTTGGCAGGAATACAGTTCTGACTTAAAGTAACCTCACAAAACTAACAAAATTTGAAAATTAAACATTTTTTTCTCAATTTGGTTTAAAGTTAGACAAAAAAAGATAACCAAAAGATGCTTCGAATTTTACCAGATTTAATATGCTGCACTTTTCCCGCAAAATTTCCAACCAATGCTTTACCTCAAAATGGGTCTTTTTGACTGTTTTTAATCAATCAAGGATTACGCTGAAACTACTTTGTTAATGGATGAGAAAACTAAATCACAAGAAGCCTCTTACATATCCCAACAGTTTTTTCTATCACAAGAAGCCCTTACATATTCCAACAGTTTTCTCTTCTGGTAAAATTCTAAGCAACTTTTGTTATCTTCTCTTTTTTATCTAAATTTAATCAAAATTTAGCAAAAACACGTTCAAAAACCGCGTCGTTAGAATCAGCACTGTACCCGCATCCATCTTAGGCGTAATTAATCGATTATAACGGATTATTATGATGATTTTGACAGTTATATATAATTATAATTACCAAAATTAGGTCCTTAAGGGATTTATAATTGATTATACTCGTGATGTTTTCCATGAGATTATAATCTATTATAGTCGATTATAATTGATTATAGTTCTTACTGAAAACCTTTAAAATCAAATATAATCGATTTTAATTGAATATATTCGATTATAATCTCTAATTTTGCCGAAAACTCCCTACACTTGAATTATATTTGATTGATTAGAAAATTGATTGAATTGATTTTTCTCATTTTTCATAGGAACCAACGTCTACAAAAAGCATACAATATAAACATTTTAGATGCAACTTCGAAGACAAATTGGACAAAATAAAAAGTTTAAATCAATTATATCAATTGTATCGAAAAATAGACAAGTAAATAGTCGATTATAATCGATTATAATGGATTCTAATTAATTATAATTTGATTTTGAAAAAGAGAGATTATAATCGATTATTAATTGATTAAAATCGATTGTTTCCCAATTTTAGTGAGATTGGTACTGGAATCGTAATATAATCGATTATTAACGCTTGAAACTGGAGGCGGGTAAGAATCAGTTGCAAGAAAAACGCATTGTAAAAATCTGCACCGTACAAACGACTGGTTGTGTACAACTGCAGCTGTGATTTCGTGACTGCAACTGCAAAAAATTAATTAAAAAATTGCTAATTAAGACGAGCTTGGATAAACGGACAAAATTGTATGGGACATTAAGAGGACAAAGTGATCTGAAATGATTAACACTATGAGTTTTTGATCAGATATCGGGTCTTTTTATAGCCGGATCTTTTTGGTTCGGACTTTGAGTTTCTGCAAAAATGGTTTGAAGGTTTGAAATTAAAATTTCATAGCATATCACCACGCTTTAACTTTAGGCCATGTTCAAACAATAATAACCTGTAATAAACGTCTAGGTAACTTTTCGTCTCAATACAACTCAAAATGGAGAATCGTGATCATGTGACAAACTGTAGAAATGGTTTGGT